AATTAAAATTATTTGAAAGCGTGACCTAGATTCGAAAGACGCTTCGCGGACACACGCAGCAAAACAACGGAATGTCGTTCCTTGAAATTTCAAGTCGTGGAACACAGACTATACTTTTTTTTTGAAGTTTTTTGAAAGACGGTTAGAAAATTTTTTGTCTTGCCGAAAAAATCCTGAAAGTTTCAACCTAAATAACTGTTCACTTCTCGAAGAAGGGCGCTTCAAAGTCAAAAACAAACCAACGAAAACTTGTTTAACTCGCCAAAGTTCTCTGCAAACTTTCAGGATCTTTATCTGACACATCAGATAGTTCTTTGGCCTAAAAATTTTCCAACCGAGAAATACGACGACCTTGGTTGCCATACTTTTAAAGGGAGGTCTATTACCCTTTAGCCGCCTCATTTTGAAGATTTTTCGTGTTTTTTTCTTTTGTTATCGACACAAAACTTGAAAAAAATCATAAAATTTCAAATTTTAATGTTTATCAAGTTCTGAAACTACCATGGAAAAAAATTTCCTTTTGAGACTTTCATGAGCTAGGAAACTATACTTTTGCGAATTAGATCTTTGATAATTTGATAAAAACTACTTATAAAAAAATAAATGAAGTCCAATCTTTACAAATTCCTAATTTTTTTGAGGAAAGATATCGAGTTCAGAAAAAAACCATAAAAATGAAATTTTTTTCAAACTCTAACAGGGGAGGTCATTTTACTTTGGGAAATTCCTGAAAACTGGCCAGAGCATTTTTTGATGTACCAGATAAAGATCCTGGAAGCCTCCACCAGCACAACTTCCTAGTTTTCGAAAAATAAAGGCCTGAAGTCTCAAAATAGCCTATTTTCATAGGTTTTGAAGATCTTCTTCGACTCAAATGCGTCTTTTCCCAAAAACGAGGAAGTTGGGCAGGTTGACACTTCTAGATTATTCTTCTAGTACATCAAGGAGCGTTCTGGCCGATTTCCAAAAAAATCTCAACTGCAGGGTAAAATGACCTCCATTGTCAGCTCTATCTTTTCAAAAACCAAGAGCGTTTGCAGATTGAGACTTTTAGGAAGTCCAACAGGTACTTCAACTACCTGTTTGAACCATTTTAATACACTTACCAACCGCAGAGAAAAATAACTTTCCTTATCAGTAAACTTCAAAAAATGTCGAAAATCACAAAAATGACCTTCCTGCTCAGTGAATTTTCCGCATCACTGAGAATCCACAGTAAGACTTCATATCCGTCCTATTTCTATTTCGATAACATATGACGGCAGCAGAACGAGAAAAAATTGACATTTGCGTGTCGAAATTATTACTGATTACGGTAGAGCATAACTGACGATAAACAAATGTCAAGAATTGTACTTTCTTTGTTTTAGAAGATACGGTAAGCTACAAAAATGAAAAACTTCTTTTGTAGGGCATTTACGATTCTAGAAGGCTTTCTAGAGTACATTCCTGCCCATTGTTCTCCGTTTTTTTTTTTGGAAGTTTCTAGAATCCTCCAGAGATATGATGCAATCCGAGATTTCAAAATACTGTGGTTATTAGTCATTTTAAGTCAAATGCCATTTGACGTTATACACTGACCAAAAATAACGGGGAGAACGATAATTGTCACGACTAATTATCTTGTTTGGACCTGCTTCTTCATTTTTAGCTGACAAACGATTTGCGTCAACGCGTTAAGTTCACCTTTCGTTAATTGATGATGACTAATTATTCTTAGTTTTCTGGTGATTCCGACCTTTAGAACGGTTACTCATGTGTTGAATTGAATGAAAATAGCATGATAAAACGCGCAAACTGAGTTACAAGCCTTAAATGTTGACGTAAAAGAATATGGCAGTTGAACCCAGGTACCGTAGGCTGTTTTCTACAGATCCTGAAAACAATTGGGAATATTAGAGCATTAAAAAAAAGAAGATTCCTTCCAGAAGTTTTTTTCCGATAAAGAGCTTAGATGGTTACGTTTTTGAAAATCCCAAACCAAGGCGTGTACTTTAAGAATTAGTGGCAAAAAAACTGCCCAAAGAAGATAAATATACTATTATCCGGTTTAGGATACCAATAATATTCCAAATCGATGGCAAACGGCGATTAGGCAAAAGGACAGATGTTCGAAAAAAACAAAAAAATAATCTTCAGAATAGAAGAGTTTCGAAGTTTCGAGGGTACGAGAATTTTTTTCGCACTTAAAAAGTGAAATGTTTTTTTGAAGAAAATGGTTAAATAAGTAAATAAGAAATTTATTTCGCAAGAAGAATAGTTTGAAAGTTTTACCGAAACATGGAAAATCGACAAAAAAAGCCGGTTTGCGCTGAAAAATGATTTTTCTATATTTCATAACCCGAAAAAGTTGAAAAAAATTATCTGAAATAGTTTTTGAAACGGGGAAACTATTTTTTTATGCCAAAAATAATATTTTTTTATAATAACCGATTTTTTTATTAGTTTTTTTACTCGTAGTCAAAAGATTTTCGACGTAAACAAATGAACCTTTTTCCAATGTTTTTTTCAAAATCATGATATTTATACGAGTCTGGTTATAGAAATACATTGAGATGATTTTTTTCAAGGAGAAAAAAAGGAAATTTTGTCATTTTTTTCAGTTTTTAAAACCCTAAGCCACTTAATAATATAATTTTTTTGCTTCTTCCTTTAATAATTTACCTTAAGAATAGTTCGAAATCAATTTTGTCTTTAATATCTATATTTCTACAACAAGTTTTGAATTCTTTGATTCGAACTTCCTGTTTCCTTTAGTCACAATGAAAAAACTCCTGACTCCAAAAAAAGCCCAAGAGCGTCACAACCCATTGTGGGAAGCCGAGTTTTTCAATACCAACAACTGAGTTCAAAAAAAGTATTCTTAGAAAACAACTTGCGTCAGTCGAATTCAATGGTGGCCGAACTTTTTTCTCCAAAACTCTGGAATATGTCACTTTTGTTTATTTTCAACGAAGAAAAAGTGTTCAAAGGTGTGCTGATTGGCTGTGAATAGGTACAGAAATAGCCGTTTCCTCAGCTTCCTCTCATTTTTTCACAGGTTTTCGTGCTTTTTTCGATGCTTCCATCTAGAATTTCGGATGTATTATAAGTTTTGGGCAGTTTCAAGTTCAACGGTTTATTTTGAAATTTCTCTCTCGGAATTTTTATTTATGACCCTTCTTTTAAATTTTTAACTCACATGATTTTGAAACGGTCAGAGAAAGTTGAAGATAAAGTTTATAAGGAAAGACCAACTTTCACAGTGTGTGAAACAGGCAACCCACATATTCGATTCTGCTCTATTTCCAAATACAAAAAACAGTGCTGCTCCGAAGTATATCGTTAAGAGAAGCTGAAACTGGAAAATCTCTTGAATCATAACTCAGAAAAACAGCAGAACTGTTCCGTTTGTAGTAAGCAATATAGATGTTTTTTACCTGGAACTACCAAAAATTCTATCTTCCTATGTTTCTTGTAAACCAATACAATTTTTTTAGAAGACAATTCCGGTGTTTTACTACTAAACAGTGTGATTAACCGCTACATTATCGTTTGTAGCATGATCAAGCCGCAGAAAACGGCCAGAACATGAGAAGTAAACTATAAACAATAGTTGAAGATAACAGGCTACATCAAGGTCGAACCAAGTGCCGCAAAAACTCTTGAAAATAAAAAAAAGATGGAATTTAAATTTTTTTTTTTTGTAAAGTCAAAACTGTTTTTGAAATTTCAAACTGAAATTTTGCTTGAGAGAGCTTCAAAATTTTGTAATACGCTCCGTAGTATCTTTTCTACTTTTACGACACGTTTTTATCGGCTCATCGTATCAAGGGTGGATGCAAAAATTTGCTAACTGTGCCGAAACTGCTATCAGAAGAGTTTAATGAAAGGAAAATATAATCTTTTGTCATTTTCTGTACTTCGCGAGCTTTCTCTTTGAGTTTAAACGATTATCATAGTTTAATAGTATTCCTTATTACTTTTGAACATCAATTTTCAGCTCTTTCCTTCTTTTCGAAACGTTTTTTGATTCGGTTGATGGCGTTAGACTTGGCCAAAAAAACTCCTGAAGTAAAAAAACAGCTTTTTGGAATGTTTCAAAGAAGAAAAAGTCGTGGTTTTCAGGTCGCAAAATGAATAAAATTTCAGTTGAAAGTATTTATTTTTGTAAAAATCTGTGGCAAGTTTATTTTTCTCACTTATTTCAAATCTTTATAACATTTCCTCTCACTAATATTTGATTTTTCAAAAGCAGAAGTCTATTTTACTTCTCAAATGGTTGATAAATTTTTAGCCGGTATTATTTTCCGTGAAATCTGTCATTAGTTCAGAAAAATCCTTTTCGAAGTATATTTCTAAATTTCATGACAAATCTCTTTGTTTTCTAAGCCGTACACAAATTGGATCATTCACCTCAAGTTTGATTACAGCTCACATGATTTTCCATCCATTCATTTCACAAATTCTCAGTTTGATTTCGAAAACTTCCTGGTTCAGGCCTTTTTCGTGAGTAAATAAGCAAACCATAGTGAACTCTACACGTCATTTTCCCAAACGTCTTCCATGTTCAACCTGGTGCTCAAATTACTATTTTCACAAACGCAGCCTCAACTAAAGTATACAGGGTTCATTCTAGGTCCGTTTAAAAGAAAAAGGCTGCGGAGCCGTCTAAAATTTCTTGCCCAGTTCTTCCCTGTTATGGATGTTTTCTCAAGCCGGCAGTTGATAAACTCCACGAAAAGGAGAATTCCCCAAAAATTAACGGTTAGAACCGCTTTTCCGCGTTTTTCGAACAAAGTTTCAGTTTTTCCATGTTGTTCCCTTCTGATTGCGTTTTTCATGATTGTTTGAACTTTGTCAGCAAGCTTAAAATAATTAAAGTTTCCTCCTAGTATGTCATAGGGCGGGGCCATATCCCATTACCGTAGTCCTTGCTCCGAACTCTCAGAGTAGGCGGGGCTCGGGGACAGGCGTTAACGCAACTCGAGCTCCGCCCAGATTTATCAGAATAAAAGCGGATGCTCGGACGACTGAAATCAGTGCGTTCTGCAATCTCCTCCAGCTCCTTCTCCTCCTCCCAGCTCCACTTCGACCTCGAAGCACTGAACTTGAGAAACCTCCGGTTTTTCGTTTTTTGCTTTGAGATCGAAACTTTCAATTATTGTGCACAGTTTAGTTTTTTTGCAAATTCAAAAACGACAACAACTTTCGGTTCTTTGCACAGAAAAATGACCTTTTATCAGATACTTTTACCAATGATCAAATTTTCAACTTCCTTCACAATAGACTCGCAGAGTGCTCCTTTCATATCTTTTCCGCTTTCTCGCGTTTGAAGACTCAGAGAGCTGTTCTGAATCACCTGCAAGCTTGCAGATCTACTTCAGAACCTCAAAGAATCATGCGGTTCGTCTGCGCTCTGTCGATCGTGACTATGGTGGCTTTGGGGCAAGACCATATCATGATGGAGAGTCGCATCGAGCAAGTCAAGGTTTTTCTCGAAAACCTTGCGTCCTAAAATATCTTTCGATATTTAGGCCACCATCTTGCGCGAGTTGGGAATGTCGAGACCTCCTAACATCTCCCAGATGAACATCCCCATCGCTCAGCTCCGGGCTCAGTTTCAGCCAATCTTCGAAAAAGAGTACGCCAACGCCTTTGCGCAAGGCCTCGAGACCTTTTATTCTATTGCGAAGCAGAACTGGATTAGTGGTTAGTCATTTTGACCCAAGAAAATGTAAAATAAGATTCAATTTTTTAGATTATAGTTCTGATGTAGCCGTTTTCGACGTCTCTGATGACGTCCTCTCTAGGCAGATTGAAAATGTCAGTAATTGCTTTAGTTAAGTTTTTATCATGAGGATTAAGGTTGAACTGAGCTTCAACCTGAACATCAACACTGCTGATGCCCTTGATGGGATCATAATCAAGGTTCACCAGCAGTTCGGAAACGGAACTGTAAGCTTGAAAAACGATGATCCCCGTTTTCAAGACATTATTTAGATGAAGTTGGTGGGTGTCAAGAAGTTTTCTAGCCTGAGATCTGACCGCGTGACGGTCACTCTTGAGAAGGAGGAGATCGAAAGGTTAGCAAGGACTTTCAGGCAATTAGCTGTAATGGCCTAATTGTAGAACCCTGGTCTCAACGAACCGAATCGTCCTCCGAGTTGAGGCCATCATCGATGGGGATCGTTACGGGTTATTTCCTGAGTCTGAGCAGGATAAGGTGATAGAAGACTTTAGACGTTTGGCTGAATAATCAGTTGATTATTATCAGAGCATGATGTTGGCCATGAAGTGCTCGTCCCGCTCTCGCTCCCGTCGTGCTGCTGCTCCAGTCTGCCTTCTGGAGAAGCCGATGGCTGGTTGCTGCCGCTACGACATGATCGTGAGCTTTTTCTATTTCTTAACTTATCCGAACTTAAAAAAAACATTATAAAGAAAAAGCTTTTCAGGTTGACTTCGACAAGATCGGATGGGAATGGATCATCGCCCCTCCTCGCTACAACGCCTTCATCTGCCGCGGCGACTGCGCTCTCAATGGGCACCACGTAAGTCTAGTTTGCTTGCTTTTCTCCCATTTGAGGGTTGAAACGAAAAAAAAAAACAACTTTTGAACTTTCAGATGCACAAGTTCGGACACACCAAGCTGGTCAAGGCTGTCACCAGCCAGGACTCGAGCATCGCCTCGTTCGTCGACCGCGTCGGCAGCTGCTGCCACGCCGGAGAGTGAGTCTTCGGAAATGAACTCAAAAAAACCTGATAACTCAAACTGAAGCTTCAAATTTGCAGGTACGAGCCGCTCAGCGTCATCTACATCAACCACGACGGCGCCGTCGTCGCCTCGAGCGTCAGCTCGATGATCGCCACCCGTTGCTCGTGCTCCTAAACACTCTCCCAGCGCCGACTTCAGCCATTTTGTCATCCCTAGTCCTATCTAATGCTACAGCGCCATGTCACCCAAATCGCAACATATGGGTATCGGGGAGAGCATTCTTTTTCCTCAATGTCTTTCGCTGCTGATCTGCGCGAAGGCTCTTCTTTCTCTGTCCTTTTCATCGTGTTTTCAAAATCGGTTGAGTGTGTCTATTATGTGCAGTCTTCAAAAAAAAAAGTACAAAAAAACAAAAAAAAAAGTGTTACACGAGTGACAAAAGCATGATATTTTTCAAAGTCGCTTTGCTGTTAATTGGAAAAAAGTTGACCTTTTGCTTGTCAAACTAGTTATGCAATGAATAAATATTTTTTAATCCATGGTTGCTGTAGCCGTTTGTATTTCAAAATAAAACGGCTGGTGGAGTGTGATGAAATGAAATTTGGTAAAAGAATAAAAAATGTTCAAAGTCCTTCCGTGTATTTCGCCTTGTTTGTTCTCAACTCGATTCGAACTTCTAGAAGCCGAAAAACAACCTGCACCTGAACCTGAACCTTAACCTAAACTTGAAAACCTGAACCTGAATCTGAAACTTAAACTGAATCTGAAAACCTGAACCTGAATCTGAAACTTAAACTGAATCTGAACCTAAAACTGAAATAAATTTTTTTAAAAACCCTGAAAAACTTTGAGCCTTGATAAATCTGAAAAAATAAAAACCAAATATCAAAAGACTAAAATTAAATTTAAAAAAATCTAAACAAGTGAACTAACAATGATAAGATGAGATTGAAAAAAAATAATGAATTTCATTTTTAAAAAGTAACATCTAAATATCAAAAATGCAAAAACGTAGGAAAACTATCAAAATCCTAAAGCTCGAAAGCCAAAACCCAAAATCTCGTTTTAAGAAAAACGAACCTCTGCAAATAAACATAAACTAAACTATCAAATATCTGATGAAAAAAACTTCCCTGAACGAAAAATGTGAAAAAAAAACCTTTTTCGAGTGGTGATTTCAGGACATATTTAAAAAAAACATATTAGTTAATTAGAATAAAATTTGAAATTGAAATCTTCGTTAATTTAAATGATTAGTGTAAGAAAAAAATTCATTTTTAAAACAAGTGTAAATTTATAAAAAAAGTGAAAAAAAGCCGAAATATTTTTTTATTACGATTTTATTCAAGATAAAATGTGTATATGAATAAAATAAGGCTAAATTATTCTTTTTGAGCCTAAAAATTTTTTTCTTAAACTATGAAAACTTGCAGAATATCTGAAAGAATTTCTAATTTGCAGGGTCGTGAGATGAATGTCTAAATAAAGATTCATGACGCAAGAGACGTGCGTAACGTTGTTATCACCGTTATCAAACGCAGGTGTTTTTTTATATCAAGTTTTTGATTATTTTTCTGAGAAATCGAATTGAGTTGTATAAAAAAATTCCATGATTAATCAATAGTGCAACTTCAGTTTTAGAAAAAAATTTCAGTTCATCGAAGTAATTTCGATTAGTTGAAACAGAAAAAAATCTGGTATTTATGGCTTGAAGAAATTATTATTCTTACCACACTTTTCAAAAATTTGAAAACGTTTTTCTCATGAAATCTTTGAAAATTAATATTCAAAGGACTTTTTCCTCGTTCATTTTTTTCGAATAAACATTTTTTTATCAATTCTCAGGAGACATTCACTTGAGAAGATATCAGAAAAAAAAAAGTTTTTCAGACAAGGAACATTTGCTAAACCCTGCACTTACTACAAAAAAAAGCCGAGCAGTACAAGAGAAAAAAAAAGTTTTTTTTCGTGCCACACACAGCCACTACATTTTTTGTGAGATACAAACATGGGATTGCGTACATTTTTGTTTCTTAACAATGCCTTACTGTATCTTATAACGTCTGCAAAAAGCATACGTTTTTTTTTTCTGTTCCTTGCTTCCGGTTAGAAAAAAAATCTCAGTTTTAAATGTCACGGATTGGCATTATACATTCTCCAGAAATAGCCTTAATCATAATTAATTGTTGTCAATTAGACAATTATGACGCGCGCGCGAGGACTGACTAGTTCTCACCTACTGCGTCACATGTTGCGCAAACTCAATGGAGAACATTCTTTTATAATTGACAATACTCAGAACTTGGATGTTGCAAAAACAATGTTTAATTAGTTTCCAGAGAAAGGTCTCAGAACCACAGGTCAATGAAAAAACAGTTATTTTTCTGCATTCCAACACATTTTTTTCAAGTTTTTATCGGTCAACTTTCAAGCTCTTGCAAAAATTATTTCTAAAAATTTTCCAGTGAACGCTGGTTGAATTTGAAAGTATACTGAAAATCGCACTACATTCTAATATTTAAAAATAGCAATCCCAGCCGAAATCCCTTTTGAATTGACAAACCCAAACCATAATCAAAATTTGGCAGTCTTAAGCCGAATCCAATGGAAAATTGACAGTCTCAAGTCAAATACTTTTTGAAATTGGCAGTCCCGAAAACATCCGAAATTTACAAAGTCCCAAGCCGAATCCATTGAAAAATTGGCAGTCCCAAGCCAGGTCGGTTGAAAAATTGGCAGCCCTAAGACAAATCTGAAATTTGGCAATCCCAGGCCGAACCGGTTCAGAAATTGGCAGTCCCAAGCTGAAACCATTGAGAAATTGACAGTCCCAAGCCGAGTCGGTTGAAAAATTGACAGTCCCAAGCCAAGTACCTTTTGAATTGGGCGTCCTAAAGACAAATCCAAATTTCGGCAGTCCCAAGACAAATCCAAAATTTGGCAGTCCCAAGCCGAGCCGGTTGGAAAATTGGCAGCCCTAGGTCAAATCCCAAACTAGAAGCTTTGAAAATTTGTGCTTCAAGAATTTCGTGAAAAAAAACTCCAAATATAGAAAAAACCATCAAAGTTTTTTTTCCAAATGATAATTTAGGAATTTCTGTTCGGTCTTTCTATTTGGGTCGTGTTCTGGTCAAATACCAGAAAATTCCCAGACGCAAAGAAAAATTACCTTCCTTGTAAGCATATTGCAGCGGAATCAGAATGTTGCGTTTACACGATAATGTAGCAAACCGTGAGAAATGCAGTTTATGCGTCCTCAAATTTTTACCACAGTTGCGATCGACTTTCCCATCACAATTTCCCCATATCGTTTTTACGCAATTCTTATCGTAGTTCTCTTCCATTGGCGCGAAAAGTACGCGATAAGATTTTTCGGTGAATTATTTAGCAAATGAGGGGTTTAACCTTTCCGCTAACGCTTCAGAAGGTTTTGGAGCAAGCAAGGTTTCAAGAATTTCTGAACCGCGTAGTGCAATGACCTCTCTTGTCAGTGAACTTTTTTGCATTTCAGTATCAACCGGTAACTAATTTTAAACGTCTCGAAAGAAAGTATAGAGCAGAGTAATTTGTTTTACGATTTTAATGCAAACAGTAATTCGAAGGAAGAAAAACTTTGAACATTCTTTTGTAGGCCACCAAGGATGTTCATCAAACACGAGTACATTTTCTGTAATTTATAGTTGTTCCACCGACTCCAATAATTGAAGAAGAGACCGGCGATTGCACTGAATCATGGTCTGTGCAAAAAAAAAGAAACTGCAGAGTCTTTGGGAAAAAAGAAAGCGCAGTCAAGGTTTTATCATAGGTGCCAGCCGAGAAGGCCATACGAAATGACATTATACACCTTCCAGAAATAGCTACAACCGGCCTTTGTTAATCTTTTTTTTTGAAAGACGTTTCTAGATTTCTTACGTCAATCCATCACGCACGTCTTACTGTAATTAATTAACGATACGTTTCTGAAACTGACATTTTCGAACGCCCTTTTTGAGGTTACTCACACTTATTTTCCAACACTTTGACATTTACCTAATTAACGATTGTGCGCACATCAGCTAATTCGAGCTCGCGATCTTTTTATCTCGTGCAAGATCGGAAATGAAATTTAAAGTGCGAGAAAAGGGACTGAAAATTTTTTTATATTTGATAAAAATGAATTTTTTTGGTATAGCTTGTGTACCATTACTTCGAATTTCACCGAACGACATTCCGCTGTGCCGCTGCGCGCCTTTGCGAACTTTAGTCGCGCTTTTAATTTTTTTTTTTATTAAGGTACTCTATTTTCATGTGCTCCCATAGCAATAAAAATCAATTGAAAGTGTGACCTTGATTCGAAAGACGCTTCGCGAACGCACGCAGAGGAATAACGGAATGTCGTTTAGTGAAATTTCAAGTCGTGGCACACAGACTATATTAGCTTTATTTCGAAGTTTATGCCTTCTGTTGTCTGTTTTCGAGCTCATTTCAGATACCTTTCACATTTCGAGCTTCTGAAATAAAGTATATTAAATGATATAAAAGCATTATGCTTTTGATTCCATACGGAACGTTAAAAGTTTGATTAGTGTAGGACGGCGTAGTTCTACGAACACTGTGAGGGTGGAAAAGAATAATAGGCAATTTCCTCGTTGATCAGTCAGATAGGTCAGAAAGTTCTCGAACCTTGAGTTTTTGGTTCTCATCATTACTCCCGCACATTCGGCTTAACGGAAATAAGCAGGAAATTTGTATGAGAAGAAATGATTTCCTTTGCCATAAGCATAAAAATTGGAAAGTTCAATGGAAAAGAGGGAAGTATTTTTATGCGACAATGAAAACCTTTATGGTTCTCTTCTCATTAGACAACGCTCAAAATTTTTGAAAAGGCTTGGAAAATTAGCACGAACGTTGAAAAATTTTCGCGTTATCTGCCTCCTCGTCAAGTTTTAACGCGTTGAAAAATCCAAAAACCTATTTTTTCACGAGAATAATTTTCCAGTTTAGAAACGTTTCAATTCGTTTGGAATAGAAATATCTGACGTTTTTAAGTCCTTTTTTAATTTTAATTTTCCACCGATTTTGATAATTGTCTTCGCTCAAGACAAGTTTTTCTGGTGCTCAGTTGAACTTTTTAGGAAAACTAGCCTAAGCGGGTTTTTTAAGACGTTCAACTTGTGAGGCAAAAATCTTTTTTCTTGCAATGGTGGTTTTTTCGCGTTATGATAATCGCGATCCATTCAAAATCAATACAAAAAAGGGTAATCATAGTTTTGATAACGGCGTAAGTTGTAAAAAAAGACGAGAAATTTTCTTATGAGTTTACCCGGAATTTCGTCAAAAGTTCAACCGGTTCAACCCAACAATGTGAGATTGGAGTGCTCAAAAATATGCCTCGGGAAAATTTCGCCAATTTCTTAGATCCTTTATTCACTGCCCTCGGCAAACCAAACTATATGTCTAATAAGATTCATTCTTGGATTGTAAAAATCCAAGAATTTACTTACGTTTCAGCTCATGATGTAAATCACGGCGTCAGAGGTACTAAAAACTCGATTTTCGAAAAAAAAAAGCTCAAATATGTTTATGAGCAGAAAATATTTGCGTTCTTGGGAAAAGTCAGAACTGGAAGATCATTTAGTTTATTCTGTGGAAACGTTTTTTATCAATCTTATTTAACGTAGAGAAACTTGATTAGGCTTTTTTCACGAGAAGGGCTTTGAAAAAAAAAAGTTAAGGTCTCAGTTGGTTCGCTTTCATGTGCCGGGTAGAAATTTTCAATTTTGCACTTCCACTTTTTGGACCTGATGCCTGAAAACTGATTTATTTTTTTTTTGTGGTCCATGCTTGAGTTTCAAAGCTTCAAGTTTTAAATGTATGGCTTTGAGGCTTTCAATATTGTCATCCTGTTCATCAAAAAATACTTTTGTCGTTCTAGAAAAAGCTGTGGAGTTCTGAGTAGTATCTCGTTTTTTTTTCGAGGGTTTATATGAATTTCATCCCTGCCGAACAGTCTTCAATCCGAATGGGCTTTAGACTTTGAAACTGTGTTGTGGTAGAAGCTCATAAAAAAATGCCATACACACTCCATTTTTTTCAGTTTTTTTCAGTATAATTTCCGACCTCCATTGATCTTTCTTTTTCTCTCCATTGCAGTTATCTTCAAAAAAATCAAATAATTACATGCTTCCCAGTCGACAACTTATTTTTTTATTGATTTATATAAAAAGTTCAATCCGCATCCAATACAGTTGATAAAAGCTCAACTCTAATTGCTCACATCCTTCTCTTGCATAAAATCTCGGAGACGAATCCTCTACCGTAGTCCTAGCTCAGAGCTCCGTCGATGGGCGGAGCAAACTGTTCGAGGTTGAGGAAAGCCCCTAGCTCCGCCCGAAATTAACAGAATAAAAGGCCAAACAAAGGGCTTTCAAATCATTGTTTTCTCCGGCACTAGCTGGAGCCCACCTCTTCACCTCACCGTAGTCCGGCTCTCCTGCAGAACTCGGCCCCGCCTTCTTGTTCTTTCTCTTTTTAGACTCCCGATTCTTTCCTTTTCACCGTAGTTTCTGATTTTCGTTTTTTCGGACAGGCCGCTAAAAGTTTCTAAGCTCGAGCTTTATTGCGCTTCACAGTGAGCCATGCTGTCTATAAAAAAGTTTTCCTTTTTGAGACTTTTTAGGCACTTCTGAAGTACTTCCAGCTGCTGCGGCTTTAGAAAACCCTAGAAACATGCAGAAGCTCTTTGTTTCAACTTGATGAAGCTCCTAGTAGGCGTAGTTTTTGCAGCTTTCGGTTCAACTGGTGTTAAAACATGCGAGGCTACATCGTGCTTGCTCTTATGGTCCTGCCTCTCATGGCGGCGGACTCCAAAGAAGAGAGCCGCTTGGCTGAAGTCAAGGTTTTTTGCGCGGTTCTCGAAGTCCTAAGCGAAATGTCTTGTTAGGCCAACATCCTGAGAGAACTCGGGATGCAGAGACCCCCAAACGTCTCTGAGATGAACATCCCTCTGGAGCAACTCCGCGCTCAGTTCCGCCCTATCTTCGAGAAGGAGTACGCTGACAATAAGCCGCAGGAGACTGAGACCTTCTACCTGACGGCTAAGAAAAGTTTTCGTAAGCTTGTCACTCCTCAGAAAGATGATGAAGTCCTTTTCTCAGATACCACCCGTGGCACCTTTCGTTTTGAAGTCACAGACGCTATCTTGGCTCGACAAATTGAAAAAGTATTCTAAGTTATCTAGTTTCCCCTTCTTCATAGAATACTTTGAGATGGAGCTCACCTTCAACTTTAACAAGGGACAGGAAAGTGTCAAGAACGTCATCAACGTCTATCAACGCTTCGACAATGGAACGGTTGATAATCTTAAAAAAGGAACAACTTTTTGAACGTTTCATCTCTGTAGGGAACTCTAGTTGGATCGCGCCAGCTTCTCAAATCAGGACATGTCAAGTTGACCTTGGAGAAACAGGAGATCGAGAAGTGAGTAGTGAGGGAAGAGCTCAAACTGGTGAGCTTTTTCAGAGTCCTCTTGGATAGCAACCTGCTGACCTTGCAAGTGGAAGTCATTGTTGACGATCAGGAGTACGACCTCTACGAGGAGGACAACGAGGACGAGGTGGATAGAGATTAGAGCTTCGAAAACCCATGATTCTAGATCATGATGATGGCCGTGACCTGCGTTTCCAAGTCGCGTACCCGTAGACGTGCTAATCCCGTCTGCCTGAGGGAAGATCCGACCGACGGATGCTGCCGCTACGACATGATTGTCAGTCTTTCGAAGTCTCTTATCATTAGGAACTGAGGACTTCTAGGTGGACTTTGACAAGATCGGCTGGCACTGGATCGTCGCTCCTCCGCAGTACAACGCGTTCGTCTGCCGTGGCGACTGCGCTCTCAACGGCCACCACGTTAGTTTCTCCGCTCCAGTCATTCAGAATATCCTTCTGCCTTCTTCAGATGCACAACTTCGGGCACACCAAGATCGTCAAGGCCGTCTTCCGCAAGGACGCCGACATGGCTTCCTTCATCGAGAAGACCGCCAGCTGCTGCCACGCTGGAGAGTGAGTCATGATCAAAATAAATCAAAGAAAAAATTCATCTTCTTTTCAGGTACGCTCCTTTGAGCCTCATCTACATCAACCACGATGGCGCTGTCGTCGCCTCGAGCGTCAGCGCGATGATTGCCGAGCACTGCTCCTGCTCATAGAGCTCTTCCTTCAGTAGGAAGACGTCGTGCAGCTGTTGAAATTAATCATTTTTTTGTTTTGTAATGCTCACGCGCAACGGCTCTTTGTTAACCCTGTTTGATGTAATGAATGAAAAATTTTGGAAAATGTTGTTTTGAATAAAATTTTGGGAAGGCTGTCAGAGAGAGAACGATGGAAAGAGAGCGGCGTTTGTCCCGACTGATTGCGGGATGCGCCTTTTCTGGTTTACAGTTGGAGTCAGTAGTTCAATCCCTGTGGAGGCGGCTAAATTTGAGATTGAGCCCATTTTTTAAGTTTCGGAGGACATAACATTCTGACTCTTGAAAGTTTGCATACGTCTTTGAATCAGAGCATTGGTTAGAATAAGCCTAAAAATTTGGAAAAATATTATGTCTTGCACTATCTTTCTAAACAAAAAAATAATTATGAACGATATTTTCAAATTTTTTTAGCTTTTTAAATTTTTTTAGAGGACGGTTTCAAAAAAATGAAAGCGTTGATTTTTTTGTGTTCCGAATAATTTTTTTGATACCAATTTTTGATTCGAACAATTATGAATTCAAAAAAACTTTGAAAAAAAGTTTGAAAAAAAGCCTCCTTTCCACCCCCCAAGACTTTCATTCAAAAATCCATTCAGAAAAAGTTGATGACTATTTTTTTGATGAACGTTTTTGTCAAGGACCTTCTCATGCTTCATTGTTTCAACGGTGGTCATAAACATTCAATTTTTTCCGGCTCGGTTTCTTCAAAAATTGCTTTTCTTTCTGCTACGAACTTTGTCAATCGGATAATTTTTTTTCTGATGCGATCGCAGAAATTGCTAATTTTCATTCAAACTTTTTTTCCATTGAAACTACTTTTGGAAATATTTCAACAATGATCGTTAAGATCCTTCTGGATTTTTTCGAAAAGGCCGAAAATGGGTTCTTCTATTTTATTTGCTGAAGGAAGTAGTTACACTTGCATGATAGGATCAAAAAAATACCAAAAAAATAATCTCAACCTTTTTTTTCGGCATAATTTTTACTGATCTTTTTAAAAAAATCTGAGGTATTCCAAAAAGGTTTTTCTGCGTAAGTATCATGTAATAACACCTCACTTCGTTCTTGAATTACTTCCTTTTTTTTCAAACTTAGACAGAAAGCAGAGTTTTTTTCAAAATCGATGAATAATTTTTCTGAGTGATTCAAAACCGTCAGGCATAGTTTAAAAAAACCTATCCATTCAAAGAAAAAAAGATTTTTCGTAAAAATTGACGAGATAAAAAAATGTTTGTATAAACTCTACATTATCAGAAGCAAAATATTTATGTTTTTTAGATTATCTACAGAAACTATGTTGACTAATTTTCAACAATTGTAGTGCATAAACCGCAATCTTTTTTTCGGTAGCTTTTTTTTTCTTCTTCCCGTAAACTACAAAATTTTGTTCCTTTCCTCACGGCATGACCTTTCTTTGATTGTAGGAAAGAGATAGGATTGACATTTTCGTTTTGAGATTCTGCAGAACGTGTTAAATGACACTTCAATTAAGTAATTGGAGTGTTTGCCTTAAAGCTTAAATAAAACAATGAGTTTGACGTTGATTAGTTGAAAAGCAGGAAGTTGTGTCATGGAGTACAATGACTAAACCTTGTTACCTGAGATAATTAGGTTGGTGATCAGAAAGCTTTGATTCCTGTTTTTTTTAGTTTGAGAGATTTTTGAGCAGGGAAGGGTTTTTGTTGCTCACAAAGAAGATGGACTGATTTTATCTTAGGACTCCATGGATTCTCAAAAAATGTAGGACACTCATTCGATGGACTGGAAGAATGTTCTGAGAGTCTTAACCTTCAGAATTTTAAAATTTTTGAGAGAAAGATTTTCCAAAGGGCCACAAAGAAGTTCATTTCACTTTGCGGTCGGGAATCGCCTGGAATTTGTCCAGAACATTTCTTGATGCCCCAGAAAAATATTTTAAAAGTTTCAATATGCACAATTCACTAGTTTCCGAGAAAAAAAAAATCAAAGCTAAGATTAGCTAATTTTAAAAGAATCTTAGTGTTTTCACTGGCTTAGAGTCCTTCTTTCTTGAAAACTTAGAAGTTACGCTGGTTGAAAATTTCAGAATTTTTTTCTAGAACATCAAGAAGCGTTCCGATCCATTTTCAAGCAAATCCCAACGGTTGAGTAAATTGGCCTTCTTTGTCAGGATTCCAGTGGACTGTTCTTTTTTAGAAAGAAAAAATTTCATAACCCCATTTTTTTTGGAATACCCCAACTTAAACATTAAGTCAGAATGATTTCAAAGTTACAAATCGAAAAAAATTTTTTTGCAAGTAGAGGTTTTTGTCGTTCAAATTACGAAGGTTCCATCTATTTTAATAACAGACTAAACATTTTTCTTTAACTCGAAAGAATTCCTTGGGTTATTAAATAAATAAGGAGTTTTTCTTTTTTTATTTCGGTAAACCAAAGACTTGATATATATTTTTTTAACTGAAGAAAAAAATCCAAAACCCTCATTAGTTCAAAAAAATAGTTATTAACCAAATCTTTTCCCTCATCCTCGTTGCCGAGAAAATTGAAGTTTCAAGTTTTTTTCTTGTTTTTACACCCTCGCCTCAGGAAATTGTTTTCCGATTTTGTAAAGGTTAGGTGAAGTTTGAGCCATGAAGTGAGACCATTTTTATTTTTTTGAGTTCATAATTATGAAATGAACAATAAGTGTTGAAATGTTTATGTCTGCTGGTAAAAGTCATTTTCTGGAGTTTCAAATTTCAAAAAAAAGCTTCAAATCATTTATTTTGAAAGCTAGATACGACGACAAAAAAAAAACGTTTCAAAGAATAAATTTATAATTTTCAATGCTTCTCTATTTTAAAAAGAGTGACAGTGATAAATTGAGAATTAGTGCCTCGTAAAAAAGTTATTGAATTTGTCTTCATCGGTATGGGGCGACAAAAAATAGCTCCACGGACATAGTTTCGGTAGTCGGGTCTGCAAAAAATTTCTATCATTTATATCATGCGGCTTGTGACTAAATTTGAAATGAGTTTTCAGAAGAAGTTGAAAAACTCCGAAAAATTGGTTAAGACATTTTTTCCAGAGAATACAAATGGAATAAATGACGAAAAACTCACATTGACCGGTAGTAAAGAACATATCTCATAGTACTTGCAAAGCTCATGACGTATCCAGCCAGAAGAGAATAAAAAACTCTCATTTTTGAGTCTTGAACTAAATAATAAATTGAAGTTAATAAGGTCCACGTAAAGGTCCATCCGATGAAGAAGACGACGGCCAAGGCCAACATACTTTTCATGATTGCTTTGTCTGTTCCAACTGAGAAAATTATTCGGAAGAAGGTTGAGCTCTAGAACCTGAACTACGGAGTTTTGCGAGACTGAAGTAGAGGAAAATGTAAGCCACGGTATTCCCAGTTCCGGCGAGCAACGAAGAAACGTTCAGAATAGTCCTTGCCAGGCCAGAATATGTTTCAAACGTGACGCAGACCAGAATCCTACATTTTGAAAAATTGAAGAAAATTGAAAAAAATAAGTCAACTCTTCAAATTTCAAAAAATTACTGCATTGAGCTATTTCTGATATTTGTTTTCAAAAAACAGAAAATTCTCACTTTCTGCTCTCCTGTTGGTAGAAGTAAAAAAATACACCAAGGACAAAAATATACAAAGAGTATATTTGAGGGGCTGCAAACATGATAAAATACCGCCGGTTCCATTTTCCGAATGAACTGAAACAGTAAAACCATAAAAATCGGCTTTTTTCAACTCACTTCTGTTGGAACGAAGCCGCAAAATATCTGTCAAAGGCACAACTAACAATCAGACAAATGCTGGTATTCAGACAATAAACAGGTATAGCTTGGATCAGGAAACATTGTTTTTGGTCGATTTCCCGGTTCCCTTTCACAATATTGTAGATCATATATGCATTGCCAAGCTCGAAAACTTGGCTGCTGATAGCAGAAACGAGCCGCAGCATTGATGAGGCATTCTGGAGCGACCTGCGAATTTTTTATTTGTTAGAATTGAGTGGGAGTTAATGATTATTCAGTTTCAAATTTTTTCCCGTTTCATTCTGAATTTTCATTGAAATCTTCTAATGGTGACTTTATTTCGCAGCAGTTTTGTCAATAGACCGCACGAAATTTTTACGCACAAATGGAAACGAATTTAGAATGGGAGCGTTGTTGAACTTAAACTAGCAAATTCGCAAAACAATACAAATCTTGACATTTTGAAAATTACTTCTCAAAACAGTTCTTTTGAATAAAAACCACGAAAATTTGAATGAACAAGGGTGAAACCAGTTGTAGCGACAATATCCATGGCAACCGGGGATTATTTTCAAGTCAAAAATGATTTTTCAGCTCCTTTCAAGCCTTGATCTTAAATTCTCTCAAATTTAGCGCGATTTAGCGCTGCTTTTTGGAAAATTTTCGTTTTTTCTTTTTTTATGGAAATCTCATAATATAGTTCTATGATTCAATTCCCGCTGCATCAAGTTCAAAAACATTTAATGCTGCAAATTTTTATATTATAAGCCGTTGATCTAATTCCAATTCAAAAAGACAAAGTTCAACTTCGAATTCTACTTCCTGGCTGTACACGTAACAACTTTTTTGTGTTCATTAATAAGTTCACCTTTTAATCATCGGTTAAGTGCTCCAATTACCATTCTCCGAGTAACAATTAGTATAAGTGCATTCCAATTTGAGCCTTTGTACAAAAAAAAAGATTTTTTAACCTTTTCAGAAAGTTTTCTTTCACAGAAAATGATTATTAATTACTTTCCGGTTCTATATTATATCTTTTTTAGAGAACCAAAAAAAAAATCTCTTTTTTTCTGCGCCTTCTAGAAAGAAACTCTCACGTAGGGGAAAAAGATCTCATAAATGTTGTCGCTACAAATTCCAGGACTACGGTAGAATCACCGGGCTCTCAAACAAAAAAAATCACACTACGTTTGGAAAAAAAAGGAGGAAAAAAGTCATGTAGGATCTGGGAAACTGGCCTTTTTGGGGTCGAAAAACGTGTTCGTACTAGAAAACTGAGTGGACTCTTGTTTGCGGATTGAGCTGGAACTTTGGTGGTTCTTGGATCTCGATAGAAATATTCAAACAGCATTGCTGTCATCAAAAACTTTTAAAACTCAACAAGGCTCGAATCTTTTCTTGTTCATTTTTGTCAGATATGTTCCGGAAAAGGCATACCAAATTTCTCTCTTTTGAAAGTCTTCTATCAAAATTCAAAAATCATTAGTTTATAATTTTGATTCGCAACTATGAAGTTGGAGAGTTTTAAAGATGGTGAGAGAAATAATATGAATCTAAATCAGCCTAGAAAAGAAAGTGGCTACAAAGGAAATTGTCTATCCGCAGCCCAACTATTGAACCATTTCAAATGCGACCAGGACTTTTCAAGTTTCAACTCACTTGAATCTAAAAGTTGCCGCCAACATAGTTATCACTCCAAAAGTAGTACCGCAGAAAGTGATGAAGTATAGAGGAACCACAACGAAGAAAATGTCCATGAGCTGTAAAATGACTTCACCGTTTCAAATTTGAAATTTTTTCTATTCAACGAGAAATTGAATTGAATCAGCCCTACCACCTGGAGCAGAAAAAAAACTTTTTGATGAGTTTTTCCGAGAAGAAACATAAGCGAACAACTAATATTATTTGAGGCAAACCAAATGCTATCAGCTCGGAAATTTTTTCAGATAAATGTTTTAAGGTCAAAGAATGTCGTTAGAATTTTTAGTCTTTTTTTTGCATTCTGACCGTATTCAGCTATGAACACTTATTGACCCCAATTATTAATTTTTTTCAAAAAAATTTCTTTTTAGAGAGAGATTTGTTGAAACTAGAAGGATTTCGAGACTACCCGAAAACTGAACAGCAATATTTTTCGTTGCTTCAAATTCGCCGCATAGAACTTATTACACTGGAATCTCTGTGATAATATTTTTTTATATTTATTTTTAACCCTTTCAAGTAAATAAACTCCAATAACCAGTTTTTTTCAATACATTCAAGAGGTCCGATTGAAACAGAAAACCATGTTAATTCAACGCGTGATAGATTTTTTTAAAGTTTGAGTGAAATTTTTTCAGAGGTGCAAAAAGTTTCAGCATTCAAAATAAAAAAACGATTTTTCCTATCAGAGAGTTTCGATAAAATGATTTCCGTGTCTTCAAAAAATTCCATGGATTTCTGGAAAGACGTTTTTGCGACATCCATCTTTTTCGAAAATTCAAAAATATCCATAATTTTCCGAAAGTCGGCCAGAAATGTAGGAAAAAGAAAGAAAAAATCCATTTCAGGAAATCTTTTTCCATGCTTTACTGATGGAAATTGATGAAAAAGAGTAGGGTCTATAAAAAAGTAATTATTCCAAACGAAAATTGCTGACGCCACAACACAACATGTGTCCGGATGCTAGTTCTCATGATACCCAAATTTATACCTGCTCAGCACGTTGCTCCCAAACAAAAGTCACGTTTTCTACCATTCTAACTCAAAAATAATAAGCGAGGAAAGAAGAAAGTTCTAAGTTCACTCTGCAGAAAAAGAGCCACTTTTCCAAATTTCAGTCTCTTTTATATAATAGATCCAGGAAGAGAGAAGGGCATTTCCGTTTTTCTTGTACCCAAATGAATCGCGCCAATCAGTGATAACCTTTATTCGATAAACATCGGATATATGGCACAACGCAAAAACTTTCAGGACTTTTCTAATCGGAGAAAAAAAGGAAGAGAGGAGCCGTATGGATGGAAATACGATAGGTAGCGCTAACGCGTGTATTCTTTTTTCAATATCAAACTGTACATGAAAAATGAACGGACATGGCTTGGAAACAGAGGATCGCACGTGGGATGGTTTGACGCATCCGACTTGAAACGAGTTGCGAGCGGGAGTATCACAAACATGAGCCAGTGTAGTTTTTTGATTTTAACATTTTCTGACTACGCTCTCAGCCATTCTGCGACCATATATTTTCAAAACCGGAAGGAGAAAAAATGAGCTCGTCAAGTGCAAATGAACCCTGAAGCTACGCATAACAGGTCTACAGGAAAAATAAAAATTGGCAAGTATTCAAAGAAAAAGAAAAAGAAAATATAAATCAAGTTCATCACAGTGTCATCAAGCGTGGCGAAAAGTGCTTTGACGTAATATCAGGAAATGTGGAAAAAGCGAAAAAAGTAGTCAAAAAACAATTTTCGAAAGATGAAAGAGCAGAGAGAGACATGAAGAGCAAGAAAAAATATACAGAAAGAGGAAATTGGCATAGATTTTTTTTCCCAAGGAAGCATAATTTCGAGTAGGAAAGGAAGTCATCAGAAAGATATTCACATGTGTATTGAACCGAAAAAACAATTAAAATGATTCCTAAAGTTGACTTGTTCTCAGAATAGACGTATTTTTTGATTTTGATTCAAGAAAAGCTCTGATTAATTATGTGGTCAACTTTTGGAATCATAAAGATGAGATGAGTTGGTACAAAAAAGCCGAAAAAGTTTTCCAAAGTTATTGAGAAAAGGTGAAGACCACAGAAAAAAGACAGACTGAAGAAGTCAACTGTTTAATGATGGATGTTCAAAAAAATTGACCTCAATAAACCAGAAATTCTAATATTGCTTGTGAGAAAAAAAGGTTTGCTGCCAAAATAGAAAGATATAAGCAGTTCTTACAATTTTAAGGTCTTAAAGGTGAGTTTGAAACAAGAAAGTTAATTATCTTAGGAACCCTTCAAAAAGGAAATGATAGTTGTGGAGTTCATGATCACATCAGAAAAGCACCAAATTTTACAAATAACTCGGAATTTTAAAGTTGCTTCCTGAGCCTCTCAAACTGTTTGAGTTTTTCTTTAACTGAATTAGTTGGAGGAATGGGTACGAAGGTCTTTTTGGGGCCAAGTTCTGGCTGAGCCGCGTCGCTGAGTCTTCTGTTCAGCTTCTCCCTCAAAGTGTCGAAGCCGAAGTCTTCTCGAGGCACATAATCTTCGTCTTGCTCTAGAATCGACGGCCTTCTGGTGACGCTGGCGTCGTCTTGGGCCACTGGCTGATTCATCTTGGAGATTTTGCTCGGGAGGCAGCTCTCAGATCTCATTTTTTGAAGTCCATTGCCAAAAAGGGGAACGGCCGGCTTTTCTTCTTCGAATCCAACGAATCGCACCTGGAAATCCAAAACTTGAATTTGAAACCAGAAGCCTTGTAAACCTCCAGTAATAGTCAAATTTTTAGGCTCTCATTCTTAGCCAAAGGGGATATATTCTGGAAAAAATTTTGAAATTCACTCCGATTCTTTGTTAGCCTACTTCAATAGCCAATTAGAAATTATAAAAGCTTCAAGAAAGTTCAACATGCTTTCAAATCTATTAGTTTTTCGGAAGTATTTAGATAAAAGTACAAATGACATTTGATTATTCGAATATTTAATGAGTAAGTATTACGACTTAAAAAAACTTGTTTTTTTATCTAGCTTTATTAAATTAATTAAATTAGTCAGTTCTTCAAAGTTTTTTACTTTTAGCCGATTAAAGATTAAAAGCGTATTATGAGGGCAAAATAAAAAAAATGTTTAACCTTCTTGCGCTCTTCAGAATTTTCCCGTTTGACGAGCGATTTTTTCAGAAGACCATGAGATTTGACGCTGCTTTCAGAAGCGGTGTCGGAGGAAGGCTGCGGAGAAAGTTTTATCTGAATTTACGGATATTTTCCGTTAATGGTTGTGGAGACGAACTGTGGAAGTGGAAATGTGCCTCGAGGGTCCGACTTTCGGTTCTTTCTCAACTTTCTCGCTGGAAGCTTGAGGCGAGAGTTTCACCTGAAAATTTTTCATATTTTTTTGTGATTTCAAATATTTTTGGTTTCTTCAGTACCTTAGCAACAGTGGTCTTTTTTTCGCTGAAGAAGTTTTTTTCCGTCTTTCTCGATTTCCATTTGATTGGTGACCTAAAAGATTTGGGTTTTAGTTTGAAATGGTAATCCTGGGTGATCCTACCTTCTCTGACAGAACGGCTTGAGCTTTTTTGAGAGAATCAGCTCTATCCAGAGAATTTCTCTCAGTTTTGAGCTCTGCCTTCTTAGTGACACTCTTTGTACCAGCTATTTTTGCCGTGAGAAGTGACTCGCCGTTAACCTACAAAAAATAATCAAAAACCATAGAAAATTTCAATCAATTACCTTTGAAGACTTCTCGAGAGTCAGCTTATCGACCGTCTTTTCGGTGAGGGTCGATACTTTCTTCAGGACTTCTTTGTCGTCTTTTTTCTCCGACTCGTTTCTGTTTTTCTCGGCGCTGGACTTCAGGGAATCCTGTTTGACGACGTTTTTCTTGACTGAAGTCTTCGGTTTGAGGTCTTCTGGAGACTCTTCTTTCTTGACTGTGACCTGGAAAGCAGAAAAATTAATCATTTCTATTTGTCAATGAACTTGCGCTTCGAATAAGAGATGAAAACTTTGGATTAAAAAGAAACTTTATTGGTTTTGAATGCGGCTGAATACGTTGGAATTGAAATATATTTATCAATATTTTTATTTTTTTAGCTTTGGCTTTGAAATTTAGGTTAAAAGCGAAAAAGTCAAATTTTTACCTGGCAAATCTTCAAATTGTCCAGTTGGCTTTTCTTCTTCTCATGCTGCTCTACAGATTTGCCATCAGAAGTTTGTTGAACTTTCTTCTCAGAGCTCTCAGTTTTCCTTTTGACGCTGGTCGTCGTAGAAGTCATTGTTGTCGTCTTTCTTTCAACGGAAAGAGACAGCTTTTTCACCCCCGGTGTTTCTGAAACAGGTAACTGAGATTTCAAAACTTATTTGATTTATTTACCATTGTCGGAAGACTGAGAAGAAGCAACTGAAAGCCTGGATAACGGTCTGATATCGTCTTTCACAGGAACAGGAGCAAAGGTCTTGGAGAACTCCACGATTTTCTCAGATTTGAAAGTTTTCTGGAAAAGTATTGACTTGCTAATTTTTGAAAAAAACTTCTTGCAAACCGGGATTTCAACTTTGCCGGATGACGGTTCTTTTGGAACACTGGGATCTCGCGTTTTGGATACCTAAGAAACGATAAAGTTTCTTAACGATTAAATAGTTCGATTAACTTGATTTAAGTCTTTTTTTTTTTTGCTTTTTCACAATTTGAAACAATCGGTAATGAACTATGAAAAAAACGAACTCTTCTCTTTGTGATAATTTTCTCGCTGGTCTTCTTTTCCCCATCCGAGCTTGACAAATCAACAATCGAAGAAGTTGCAGAAGATTCAGTGGCCGTCCGAGATTTCCGAATAGATGTTTTAGGAGCTGTTGGAGCTTCCGGAGCAGGAAGAGCTGTAGGATTCATGACCTCGTCTGTCACTTTTTCTTTTCGCCTCAGAGCAACCTAAAAAGTTTTATGCATTTATGAAGACGAGCAAAAAATATAGACAAGATAAGAAAAAATACCTGACGAGCTGGATCTCGTTGATTTTCTTTGGCGCTTTCAGTGCTCTCGGTTTTGTCCATTTTCTTCTCGACCTTCTTGATTTCAGCCGAATGAAGAGGCGGCTTGTTTAAAATGTAGGTTTTTTGTGCGGTACCACTTTCCGGAGCGAGAGTTTTGAGGACTTTGGCCTCAGCTGGTGGCGGTTTCGAAGGCAGTGGAGGAGCTTTTTCTTTTTCTTCTGGAGCGGTGCCAGTCAAAACGGCCTTCTTCTTCGAAAGCTTAGGAACTTCGGTAGATTCCCGAACTTCAATCGGGAAAAAGTCTCCTTTATCGATCGATTGTTGGATAGCATCAATAATTTTCTTCTTCTTGACCACGCTTTTCTTTTTTTCTTCTCCAAGCAAAGACGCTCGTCTCGCTTCAGCTTCATCAGCTTTGGCTTCGTGTTTCTCAGCCATTTTCAGCGGCTCGGAATTGACGGACGTCACGCTTGCCTTCTTCTTTTTCAGAACAGAAGGCACAGCTTCAGAAGGCGTTGATTCCGTTGCAATCGAAGACTTTTTAGATAGAGCTCCATTGAGAAGTTCGGTGTCCAATGGCTTGATGAGGGAGTCGGTAGCGATTGAACTTCTCTTTTTTGTAGAGATGTCCAATCCTTCCTGAAGAAAAAAATCAAGACTGTCTAGGAGTTTTCTTATAACTCGTGAACAGAAATAGAAAAAAAAACAATGATGACAGGATTTTTCTGTCAGACTCTATTAAATCGCTACGAATAGAGTATATTCGATTCACTAATGGGTTTAGTCAATATTTTGAGTTTTTCTTGACTTTGGCAGATTAGTGTGCAACAAATGTGTTAATTTTTTTCCAAAGCTAGCAATGAATATAATAATTGACCCAAAGCTGAAGAAAAATTAGCATTTTTAACATTTTTCCGAATTTTTCAAAATTTCTGACCTCTTTGACGCTGACAATTCGCCGAGTACTGCTTTTCTTGGAAGTCTCTTCTTCAGTATCCGAATCAGTCTTTTTCGTTATCGACTTCTTTTTCTTTTTCTTCTCTTCCACTTGAGGGGCTTCTTTCACTTCTTCGACGACCGCAGGGAGTGCAGGCCTCTTTTCTGCGGAAGCCTGGAAAAAAAAGAGATTAAAAATCGCCCCAAATATTTTCCCAACCTTTTCAACAACACTTTTCAATGAAAGGGGATTGCAAACTGCTGATATCTGGAAAAAGAAACAATAGTTCAGAAACCGGATTTTAATTATTGTTATCGTACCCGCTTCTCTTTCTGTTCGGCCATTTTTAGCAGAGGATCGAAGAACTTGTGGCCGCTCTCGCTCATCCGAGTGCGGAGCGAGTTCCGCAGACGGTTCATTTCAATTAGGAACTTCACGTAAATGATCATGCGCTGAAAGATTAATTAATTAATCAGAAAATGCTCGAATAGGTTAATTGAATGTGTGACAAAAGAAAAGTTTATTAATTGATGTTTTAAAGCAATGATTGAAACGTTAATCCTTAAGATGAACAAAGATGAGAAAAAAAGTAAACTGTGGTTTTTTGACTTTTTCCTGAATAAGCAGGAAAGTAAGAATATTTACAGTTAGTACCTTGAAATAAAAAAACGCTCCGAGCTGATTTTTTTATTACAGGAATAAACTTTTTACTGTGGCCATAGTCGTCTTATTAAAAATCTCCTCACCTATTGAATAAGAGACCTGGAAGGAAATTTTGGCACTTGCTTTTTTTCACTTAAAATACACTCTCAGAGCTCGAAAAATAATTATGTAGCTGTTTTTTTTTCTTACTTTTGAAGCTGAAAATGAAAAAGAAATGGATAAGAGCTAACAAAAATTTGAATATTTCGCTGAAATGCTCACCCGGAACTTGCGTTTGGCATTGTAACGCATCATCATCTTGTTGTCCATTTGAGGCGCTCCAAGTGGTTTTTCAAGCGTCGCATTGCACTGCGCCTTCTGCCGATGAACTGCGATCCACGGGTGTTTCAGGCATTCATGAGGCAGCATCCTTTTCCTGAAAAGAAAAAAATCGTGTTTTTTTCATTTCTTTGCATTTATTTCTTGTCAGTTTTGTCGGGGAAAGTGAGAAAAAGTTTGTCAAAAAGTCATCTATGTTATAACAGCAGGATAGAGTTTCTATGAGCCGCTGGCTCGACACACTAAAAATGGGGTTTTTCAACAATTTTAAACATTTTAAGGATAAATTTGGTGGTCTCGCTCTAAAATTATTATTTTTCGAATAACTTGCGACTTTTTTGATTTTACTACAATTTTGTGAAGTGAATTTCATTGTCAACAAGCCAAAAAAGGCAGCTTAAATTTTTTTCAAATCGATAGAAGCCGTATTTATAATTCCAGATTTTTGCGCATCTTATCTACATAGCTATCGGTTCAATTATTCCCTTTTTGCGCTTCATCACTTAATCATGAAAATCTATTTTTTCCAGAAAACTCTTTCTCTTCACACTCAGCCCACGCTCAAATTAATCCAAATGACTTGCACTCAAAAGCTCAGATATTTCTGCGTAGGCGAAATATGATTTCTCTCGAAGAAATTGGCCTTTTGCAACTTCAGGAAAATAGCATGTGCCCGCAAATTTTATAATGTCCTACTGAAAAATACATCACTTTGGAGGTGTTTTCGAACCCCGATATGAGTTCATTACTGCCATTGGGTTATAGAAATCAAATCGTGGAATGATATCACAAAAATATACATGAGCTGAAGAAAAGAGGGATTTTGGGTGATTTTCATAAGAAAAATGGAAAAAATTGAAACCATTCAAAAAAATTTTCACAATCACTTATCAGCGTAGATTATTTTTGACGTTCGGAAATTACTGTTCGTTGAAAATTTGCAAAAAAATTGTCTCTTTATGGAAGCCCAGACTCGACTCTCATGCCTTTTTCCGACAAAGCCACTTTTTGTAAAGGTCACCAAAATTGGTATTTCGTCATTCCAATAAAGGTTGGTACGAATTTCTTGAGTTTGAGACACAGAAACTTGATAGAGTCCCACCGAACCCTTTCAAATTCCACGAATAAACTAATCAACTTGTTTTGGCTATTTCGAAATGCAAAAAGACTTCAGAAAATGGAATAAAAACATACTTTTGATCATAGACTATGAGTTTGGAGACGAAATCCTTGGCCTCAGCGCTGACGAGATCGAACTCTTCAGTGAACTCCCAAACGCCTCGTTCCACGTTGCAATAAGTTTCTCCCAAGTTATCTCCCATAAAAGGAGAATATCCGGAAAGCCTGGAAAAGTTCCTTCATAAACAAAAAAGTTGTGAACTTTTCATAGTTTCGGAAATTTTTGTCAGGTGCAACTTTTTTCTCTCTTTTTTTCTGAATATTCTAATCACACACTGACACGCGAGCCATATAAACCAAAGATCAAGTTTGAAAACTCACAAAATGTAAGTTATCACGCCGACACTCCACATATCCGTGTGATAGTCCAATTTTTCGAACTTGATCACTTCTGGAGCCGCGAATTCGGGGGTACCCGCCATGTATTTGAGCTCCTATATTTGATATTTGAGTTTTCCAATGAGTTGGAAGGAAAAAAACCTGAGTTCCATCATAGTGACGAGCTAGGCCAAAGTCGATCAGTTTGATCCGGTTGCCAGTGAGGGACACGCACATGATGTTTTCTGGCTGAAAAAATGTTGCTTTAGATTGATAAGAAAAACTTCCACTGAAAATTGAAATAATTGGTAATATTAAATATGTATGAATTGTGGATTTTTTTAAGTTTTATTGCATTTTTTTCGAAATATGTAGCGCGTCATAATTATTGCAACAACCTTTTTGATCTAACAGAAGAAATATCAATTTAAACTCATGAAACTTTGAACTTTTTCGTTTTTTTGTTGATTCTCACAGTCAGACGCTTGAAAGCTTCTTTTTTTCACTCCCTTCAACTTCACCTCATATTCCCATGGTTCTTGCTCTCGCAACCTATAAACCAGAAAAAAAACACGAAAAAAGATCTCCGAGCCGTCAGTTGTCAGCTTCCGATTGAGATAATTTGGGAGCAGGCGGCACGTGAACTGCTGATACCACCCCGATTACACTTCGGAATCTTTTCGTGGAAAAAAACGAACACCTCCGCCCGGCTTTTTGATGGCTTTTTTTGCCAATAAATATCTAAAAAGGTCAAAAAGTTAGGACTATGAATTTTCGTACTATTTTTTATAGTTCTTTTGCTAATTAACAGCTACGACTCCCAAAAAATTAGAAAACAACGTAGGAAAAAAAAAGTACGATTTTTTTAATGAAATGACTTCTTTTGGACTTCGAAAATTTAGTCTATATTCAGAAAAAGATCTACTCGTCAGCGAACGAACATTATTACTCAAGGTTTCTGTCTCACCTTGACATCCAAATGAAGAATGTTCTGTTGATGAATGTAGTCAATCGCCTCGCATAATTGACAAATGATCATGACCACTGCCAACTCAGACAACTCATAAGTTTCCTCAGCAACCCGGTCGAACAATTCACCTCCTCGAACACTGTAATTTACTGTTTCAAAAATATTTCTCAACTTTGGGGAAATTTCCCTTGAAAATTTTCAACTTTTCTGATCTCTGTAACGTTCCAAATGTTAGTTTCCACGTATGAAAGAGAAAGAAAAAAGAAATTCTTGAAAAAAAATATGTGATGAATCATTTTGGAATAGAAGAACGAAACGTCGTCGCGTCATGAGGAATGCATTACAGAAAACATTGGGAAACTTTTTTTCGGGTCGAGAATGGATGTCTACGTTATTGACAGGAAGAACTTTGAAAAATCGAAGAACTTTTTGGAAACAGAGAGGAACAGAAAAAGTTCTTGAATTGATTGAAAGACTGAAATTAAAGTTTACGGATCTTTTTCAAAAGAAATTTCGAATCGAAATTGTTTTCCAATTATTTCCTTTCAAAAACAGCGTATTTAGAAATAAACTGACCACGAGTTGCTTAACTTTCTATGTAAACTAGGGTGTACACTGGCTTATCTCTTTCCGGAAAAATCAAAAACTCACATTTCCATAATGAGGACAACATCATTTGTCGTTGTGTAAAAAGCGTCGTAGATTTGGGCAATTCTAGGATGACGAAGTTGCGTCAGAATGGAAACTTCGCGTTCCACTTCTGCACGGTCAGCTTCCTGGAACCGAAAAAATGATATATCACTTCACTGTTTCTCATTTATTTTCCTTGTCGGCCATTTTCCCGAGCAGATTTTTTTAGACAGTTTATTCTTTTTTTTTTTTTTATTTCACGTTCTGTGGCCCCTTGGAGAAACCAAAGACACGTATAACATAGTCGAAGTCAAACACGCCGCGACCAAAGCAACAAAAAAGAGCAATCAGCAAAACCGGCAGCGGTCCGTGGCAGCTAATTTTAGCCGGGGAGCATGTTATACTCGTGCAAAAGCGTTGCCGCAGGTAATATTGGTTGTTCATTCAGACACGAAACAATTGTGCCGAAGCCGCTTGAACCTTGTGTTGACTTTGTTTCTTGATTTTTTGCGCCGACGGCTTTTTCTGCCGGCTCCCACGCTTTTTGTATTGTCCGACCATTTCAGAGGTTCAGGCGGAGAAGGAAGGACTTTATTTGTTCCTATGAATTGAAGAAAAGAAAATTAGATTTTTAAAAATTCACTTCTGAATAAGTTGTAGTTTAGGAATGTACAGTTTGCTTGGCAACATGTTCGATTCTGAACTTCGCGTTAATGAGAGTTTTTCTAATGAAATTCACTTTTTAATTTCAGCGGCATTTTCTGAAAGTAAGCAGAAGATCAAGCATGTTGTCTCAGAAGAATAACGTTCCGAGGTTTTTGGATCGCTAGTCCAACAGAACAGAATATTCATCTAATCCGACAGTGAGTTGTGAACATGCAATTCCGAAAGTTATAGAGAAATCTGACGTGAATGGACGCTCTTCTCTCTCATCGAGAAATAAGTTTATTGACGGACTGTTGCTTTCTGGCTACCTTGAGAAGACACAAATAACGAGAATGAATATTTAATGGAAAATTTTCCCGTGTAATGCATCGTTCTGCAGGATTATTCTTCATCCGGACGCTGAAAAGCCTATCCAAGAGGAATATATCGTCACTCATTCTACGGCCGGCTACTCGAAATTCGTCCCCCTTTTCGCTCTAGTTCTCAAGAAGAGGATATTCAACCAGTTTGACAGTGAGTTTTGTATATTCATTCCTTGACGACTTAAGTCAGCTTGGGCACTTTTTCTCCATCTAGCGTGTTTAAAATAGATCAATAAATTATAGTCCTGCAGGACTCAATCTTTCCGCGAAAGGAGCCTTTCCAAGACAACTTCAGCGAGGATTCGCTGACGCATCGTCGACAAGATTTTTGAAAGGTTTGAAAACTCCTTTTCTTTGAAAAAAATTTTTTTAATCCCTTCCCCATTCAGGCAAAAAAATTTCAAATAAAAAAAGATAAAAAAATAACATTTTTTTGAAAAAAAATCTTCATCCAATGATTGATGCGATTTCACCTAAATCTCATTTCCAGGAGTTCACACGTGGGGGAGCTTCAGCCGGAGTGAGAATAAAATATGACCAGTGCCCATCGAAAAAGGACAAATCGTGAATTTCGATGAGAAAGGGAGAAGCTCTGAAAAAAGGCTGACCTCGTTCATGAGAGAACGAAATGAAGTTCAGGTGAGATTTACCGTTTATAGAAATTATTCATCTCTGAAATTCTTCTCGGATATCTATCGGAAAAGTTTTCTAGAGATGATGGCCTGTTCAATGGCAAAATATCGTCACTCATTCTACGGCCGGCTACTCGAAATTCGTCGCCCTTTTCGCTCTAGTTCTCAAGAAGAGGAGATTCATTCAATTCTACAGTGAGTTTTGTATATTCATTCCTCGACGACTTGAGTCAGTCTGACGTGTCTGGACACTCTACTCTCTCATCGAGAGAGGATTTTAAATCGAGGAGTTGACTTTCGCCTTTCTTTCAAAAACAACAAGGAAGATATTCAATATTTCTCGGAAGGTTTTTCAGGAAAAGCATCGTCCTGCAGGATTATTCATCCTGTGGGCGGTGGGGGTCTATTTCGTGACGACTTGAGCGAGGATTCAGCGAGGAACATATCGTCACTCATTCTACGCCCGGCTACTCGAAATTCGTCCCCCCTTTTCGCTCTAGTTCTCAAGAAGAGGAGATTCATTCAATTCGACAGTGAGTTTTGTATATTCATTCCTCGACGACTTGAGTCAGTCTGACGTGTCTGGACACTCTGCTCTCTCATCGAGAGAGGATTTCAAATCCAGGAGTTGACTTTCGCTTTTCGGCTTCTTTCAGAAACAACAAGTGAAGATATTCAATATTTATCGTTTTCCAGGAAAAGCATCGTCCTGCAGGATCATTCATTCTTTGGCCGGTGGGGGTCTGTTTCGTGACGACTTCAGCGAAGATTCGCTGAAGCATCATGCGGGAAACTTTCTGCCGACAACCTTTCCAGAGGTTCAAAATTTAGTTTTTTTTATCAAAAATTTTCCCCCTCCTATTTCCTAAATAAATTAAAGTTCAGTTCCTTAAGATTCTCCATCAATTTTTTTTGTATGATTTCATCTAAATCTGAATTCCAGGAATCTCCTCGGGGCAAACATCAGTTCAATTGCGAAAAAAACATGGTATTGTCTATCGAAGTAAGGACGACGAAGTTTTGGAATCCGTACAAAATACATCTTTTTTTAATTCATAGTTTATATTTGTTTTACTAACCCCATTCTTGTTCTATTTGTTGCACTTTTTTTTTTTTTGTTATTCACTCCGTTTTATTGTTGACCAAAATGAAAAATTGTAAAAAAAGCCTGGTGAAGTTTTTGTTTTTTTCTACGGGACGAAAAACACGAATTACCGAGAGGTCATCAGAATCCACGAATTTCAAAAAAAGTTCAGGGAGTAAGATGATTTCACCTACTTTTTCTGATTTTTGATGAATTTGGCGGCAAACTCGTTTCCTGTTGCTTTCTCGATGACGCGGTAGACTTTGCCAAATTTTTCCACTAAAAAAATTAAGATTTTTAAAAAAATGTGTAAGCATGAAAAAAATGGTCTTTTTTTAATTTAGAAGCTTATTAAGAATTTTTTTTCAAAGCTGTCATATGCCAGTTTCTTCGTTGGGTCGTTGAGAAAAGAACAGAATATGGCAAAAAAAGCTAAGATTTCATAACTCTCGAACCAAAAAAGGCCTTTTTGTGAATACCACGCTTTTGAAACCAAATTTTCAGGATGTTATGAATGACTCCGAAAAAAATGAAAAATCACCATTTTTTTATTTCAATAAACTGAAAAAATAACTCACTCTCCAATCTGCTTGGAAATGTGGTACAAGGTGTCAAATTTGACGTTTGACCGGATGTTCTCGATCTTCTTCACATCGAATGGCGGTGGCTCATCGACTTCTGAAGAAAAAAAGTATGTTCAAAAATGAAAACCGCACAGAAAAAAATCATGGCATAAAACAGAATTTTCCGTTTTCATTTATGCTATCCGCATTTAGCAAGGTTTTCCAAACACGATAACTTTTCTGAGAAGAAGCAGGAAAAATCACCAGAAGGATAGGCTTCGTCGACTTTGATCCTGCCGCCCGGCTCGACACCCATGGGCACTTGAAGCGAGAACCTGCGATGGTAATTCATTCTCGACAGAGAAACGAGCAATTTCGGTTGGAAAGTCAGCGAATAACGGTGGGGCAGGAGTTTCGGAATAGAAAAGGAGGTTTTTCTACCAGGAGAAGGCGCTTTGACCATATTGTTCGAGAGAACGGTGAGCAATTTTCTGCTCTCTCAGGCCTTTTCGTTTTCTTCGAACTTATATGCAGTTGCAAAGATTGGCAAACGTCAGAATAATGATGTTAAATGAATTTGGGGAAAGTGAATGGAAAGGAAGGAAAGTGATTTGATGGATTTTCAAGTCAACAACAAAAATGACTCAGAATAAATGATCCAAAATTGTAATATCACCGACCATGCAAAGAAAATCGTAATATGATTAGCAAGAGAGCGTGTGAAAATGAGAGGTTTATACAGTCGTATCAAATTGTTTATTTATTGTTGGCTGCAGCCAGAAGCCAAGAGAGCATGGATTTGGAAATGATAAATTGTGTAGAGCGAAAGGCGCAAAATGTTAGAAAATTCAGATGATTGACATTTATGCTTACCAGAAAAAGGTAAAATGAATTATTGGAATGTATTTTCTAAACTTGATTCAAAAAACACAAGGAAAATTTAGGCAAGTTAATAAAACTTGCAATTTTCACAAAGTTACGCTGAATGAACTACTTTTGGAGATCATGAAAAAAATTTTCTTCAAGAAAAATTCTTAAATTTACTGAGGAAATAGCAAAATCAAAAATATTCAGACGTCCGTAAATTGCCTTCCAGAATTTTTTATACAATTTGACCTATCTGCTTCCAGAAAAAAACTTGTTTCATAACATCCCAGAAGCTATTTTAAGTAAAAATTAGTTTAGCTGGATCTATGATGATTGGAAAAAAACGAGTTAATTGAGTAGATCAAACCTTCAGATTTGCAGAATTGTACGATTGACGTTTACGTGGCAAAAGTACATTCGGAAAACAAAGCTTTTCTTGACTAATTTCTGACTCAACCGATTAATTAACAAGATAATGAGGTAATCGGTACTCGGTACGATTACGAGGAAGAATAAGCGATTTTCAACTCAACTGGAAAATTAACAGGGTTCTAGGAAACGGGAAAGTGGGTTGAAAACAAATTATGACTCTTCTCTGGTTCGAGCGGATCTTTTAAAGAGGTTTATCAAGAAATCTTTACGACCTGGAACCTTAGTAGCAGTGAAAACAAACAAAAAAGAGAATTTCATAGTGTTTTGCAGGTGTATCTGAGGAATTTTCGGCATTTTTGCTGATACTTTTGAAAATTTGAAGCAAAATTTTAAGATGAACTCGATTTTTCAGGAACAGCGATTGAAAGGAGAAGTCATTGAAAACACCAACAATCTCAAGAAAAAAGAAAAATTCTCATTTGCAACTCGTGCAAGGGAAACTGCAAAAACTAGCAATTTTCAAAGCAAGGAAATGCATACGATTATTTGAGTTTTCCGCTTTTTTGTTCCGCTTTTCAAAAAGTAAGAAGAACGGGGAGGTTTTTTTAGCTGAACAAACGCGCGCGGCCGTGTCCATTGAACAGAAATCTTAGGGCGGCTTGATGTCTGGCCATTACCGAAATACTATACCTTCGATCCCACGCAAGGGTCTTTCCCAAGAATCGATGAAAAATCTGAGCTATTTGTGTTATGAAAGATATTTTTCAGCTTTCCAGGAAGTTTTTGGTTTGAAAATTTTAATTTTGATAGATCTGATCTATCAATGAACGCGTTTTTTTTCGATATATCCAGAGTTTTTTTTTGCGATGATGTCATTTAAATAAATGTCGAGAACTTTCCGAAATAATTTGAAAATAATCGATTTCAAAACTTTGAATTGAAGTTCATCCAAAAAAAATTTACGGGAATCATCGAAACACATTTCCTCCTTCAAAATAGCAAATTGCACATTTTTGAATGTCAGAGCTAATTGTAGGTAATTTTCCTTTTTTTGAGCCAATCACAATGTTATGAATCCCTATTACCCAAGAACCTCAATTTGTTGATTTGAGGCTGCCTCCTTTCAACAATATTTTTTTGCAAAAGTGGATTCAAAAAAATCTTCCGCTGAGGAATTCATCAATCGATAGCCTCAACTTTGCCAGAAAAAAAAAATCATTTTCATGCTTCAATTGTAAAAAAAAGCTTCCGTCGTTTTTTTGTAATTTCCTGAACAAAAAAAAAGCTATTTTCAATCATGCAAATTTCCTTCACACCTACAAAAACAGGAAATTGGAGCAATTGAGCGGAAAAAAGTGGGATCGAATGGATGGCCAAAAGGCAGATATTTTCAACAGAGCGGAATGCGAGCAGCGGAAATCAACCTGAGGCAGCCGAGGCGGTTTAAAACAACACACTGCGGTGACGCGGAGCTGATCCGCCGAGAGCACGCGAAAAATGAAACTGAAAGGCTGGCAAAAAATAGAGAGGGACTCGTTAAAGTGCGAACGGCTCCTCGATCACTGAGAATTAGAGTTTGAGTCGCCTGACGGATCGCCTCGAGGCACTTTTTTCTGATTTCGAGATCAGAGGTTGAAGCTCGGCTCTTCAAAACAAGGTCTTAGAGCGGAAAAAATCAAGAAAAAAAATTGGCGCTTTTGGGCTCTGGGATCTTTGAGGTCAAACAGCTCAATTTTAGTTGATTTTTTTTGGAAACTGAACTTTTTAAAGTTTTCTTGGTATCTCGAACATAACTTTAGGCCATAAGTACCTTGAATATATGAGAAAGAGCTTTCCAAGCGTCCTAAAATTGAGAGTTGTTGAAATCATTAAAAATTCACCTAATCAAGCTACTTTTAGAGCGTCGTGTTAAAAATCAGAAGCGACGAAGATCTCAAAATACATTGAAAAAACAACCGCACGTTTTCCAACACCGCAACAATAGCCAATATACAGAAAAAGTGACTATTTTGCTACAAAAAAAGGTGAACAAACATTTCAAAGCGGCTTTAAGAGGTGTTCCCGGGAGGCATCGACGAAAAACATCGCTTCCCGAAAAACAAAATTCAATGATTACCACCTATCAACCGTTGAACTTTTTCATCTTGATAAGGGCGTATGTTGCCATTGAACAAACTGATGAAAATGATATCTTGAGATATGTCCAGCCAAGAAATGGGCATTAAAATAAGATAAAGGAAGCCTGAGAATCTTCCGGAGATAGTTGAAAGGTCTGTAAGTCACTTCAGGAAAAGAAAAAGAGTCCAATTTCTT